TTTTAATGTTGTGTAACAAACCAATGGTTCCCGCAGCAGGTTGTTACATGCAGATTACTTGTGAGTGAGTGTTCTCTTTTTTTGATTTTTATACTTCTCTCCCATCTTTCTCGTTCCACTGATCTCGATTTGGTCTCAGAAATCCAACAGCAGCTCTTTCATTTGTTCTCTTACTGGCCCTGGAGGTGGGATGTGTCACTGGGTTACTGTTGAGCTGTAAAGCTGTAAAGCTGTTTCAAGGATTCTTAAACATCCAACACCATTAGCCATCGTGTCCACATAAGTACGAATTGCAGCTGCTACCATAGCAACACCTATAGCATAAGTGTTGTTGACATATTAAAGCTGCAAATTGTTAAGGAGCTGAGAGGTGGCAGACTGTCTTTTCAGTGTGACGGGGTATCGCAGCTTGTGAAGCGGTTGTTTAAGTGAAATAGTAAGCAGTCTTATTACCAGCTTGGCATTTGTCATATGTGCACTTTATGCCTCACCAGAAATTTATGAAAAGCTTTACCTCTCTGTTTGCCTCATCATAGAACCTTAACTCCCAGTCACTCCTGACATGATGGCTGCATAAATCACTATAGCTGCGACACTCCGCCTCCTGTGTTTCCCCATCACCACCGACCCCCAGCACACCCCTCCCTCATCTTCCTTTATCTTCATCTCACTCACTCTATCACCACCCTTACCTCCCACTACCCCGTTTTTTCCTGTTTCTCATCTTCTTCTCATTTCTCACAGCAGTCTGAAACCATGAAATAATATGGGAGTGTGTGTGTCTGTGTGTGTGTGTGTGTGTGTGTGTGTTGTTATATCCATCCGCTGGTAAAAACCAAGGCAGGGTGACGATAGGCGTAGAAACATCTCCCTCCTGAAAATTGGCTCAAGAGATCCAGCTCTAAAAGCGCTGTGGGAATTTAGCGGATGCCAACATCACTCTCTTTGCATCACTGCCTTTGCTCGCCCAACCCCAAGTGCTCCTGGGTAATTTGGAGGCTGAAAGCAAAGTAATTAAATAGGCCTCCCGATGAGAGCATATTTGTGTGCCTATTTGTGTGTTTGTGCGTGTGTGTGTGTGTG